TTATATCTCCGATTATTTCTCCTATATTTAGCTTTTTTTCGCTCCCTTGCTTTAGAAAAAATTAATTTTTTTAAAGAAAATTTTCTAAGTTCAATTAAAACAAAACTTTGAAAATTTAATAAATATCGCACATTATCTTTTATTAAACGTTTTTATTTCAAAGGCTAAACTTTTTAATTTGAAAAATACATTATTTAGTTAAGAATATTTTTAAAAATGTTCACAGGTTTGAATCGATGTTTATTGGATAATTATTTTAAAATAAATTAAATTGAAAATTTTAATTGTTGAAAATTTGAATTTTTAAACCACTTCTGTAGCTGAAATATGCTCATATTTGCTATACATATAGTCATATGAAATTCAAAAAGCTCTAAGTTACAAAAAAATCTAAATCGCCGTTTTGATTGATTGTGATGTACCCTATCAAAATACATGTTCCTGCTAAACTTTCCAATCAACAAATTCCTAAAAGATCGTGTTCTAAATTGTAAAATGTTGTAAGTTGACATCAAATAAAACAAAACTTACTTTTCTAGCGAATTTTTATCAAAGAAATATTAAAAATCTTTATGAAAAAGGAGAAGCCTTATTCCTGTCAAGTTTCGGGCTATTTGAGCAACAAAAACTGTTTTGAATTTAGTTAAAAATGTTTAGTTGAATCTTACTATTTTTTAATGTAACTTACGCCCTTTTGGATTTCAGAAGAAACTATTTCTCAAGGGAGTAAGTTTCATATCTTCGTAAGCAAAAAAAAAAAACTGAAATTTTTTCTTCAAATAGTAATTTGCTAATAAAAAATAACGTTAACTATGGAAAAATAGTTGTTTTATTTATCATTTTAGAAGGTTTTTTGCTTGTTCTGAAAAAGTTTACATATATGGGAAATTCTCTTTTTAATTTAGATTTTGGGGTTCAAAAAATTATGAAATTTTTTTAATAGCACATCAACGATATTTTGTGTGGACATTTTCTAACATTTTAAAAGTACAATTATCTTCTTGTGAATAACTCTTAGCAAAAGCCACCAAAGTTATTGCGGTTTAAAGTTAACAGTTTAAAAAATTCACAAAATTACATTTTTACCTAAAACTTGAAAACATAAGCGTGGATGTAACCCACAACGAAGGATCCAAAATTCAAATTAATTTAACCCAAATATTTTAAATATTCGTGGATAAATTCGTTTTTTAATTTTTCAACCTATTCAAAAAATATTTTTTATAAAACTAAGTACACATTTTTTATAAACTAATTAACATGATGAATTAATACATTCATTTACAATCATTAACTAAAAAAAATTATGCATTTATATTTGGTAGATTAAAAATTATAAGGTTTTATTTAATTTATTTACGCATATATACGAACGCATTTTTCTTAAATTGCATTAAATTCAAAATGGTTGTATTATGAAACTTTCACGTTTATTTTTCCAATATTTAAGTTTCTCCCACAGTGATATCTTCTAGAGCACATTTTGGAGATATACATCAAACGACGCTTAATTACAGTGTCTACTTTTTTCATTTCTAAATTTTACATAACCGAAGAGCCGCAAATATTATATCCAAAAAACTGCAAATGTTGTAAAATTGTATAAATTTGGTTTCAAAACTTTGGGACCACGTAATTCTTTACTTATAATTCGCACAACAATTAAATATAGAGTATAGTCATTCGTCAAGTGTATACCGCCTTCATTAGCAAAATTGACTTTCTCATTTGTAAGCCGCCCTCATAATATGCAAAAATTGTGAAAAAACTAGTTGGTTTCAATCAGTTTTTTGAGAAATTTTGACTTTAAGTGTTTATTTCTCCAACATGGAAATACTCTCGACCACAAAATTTAATGGACGTATTCTTTCGTCTTATGAATAAAAAATCGTCATTACTTAATTTTCAAACTATTATACGAACGAAATGCATAACAAACGAAAATGCATAAAACTGATTTCTTAAAATCTAAAACAAAAAAAGAATTTCCCATATATTATATATAATCAAAAAATTACCTTATTTTTACTTTAAACATGTACTTTTGCTCCGGTATGCAAACGTGCTAAGTCCTCAAAACAATAAAAATATACAAAGAAAAAGTGCTTAAAAAGTCCTTAAAATTTGCTATTATAAACGCATTAATTAGTCATGTAAAAAGAAATATCAAACATTTTGTACATCAACATTTCTAAAAATATAAAAAATATTTTTTTGCCACGCCTAGAAATACCGCCCTTTTTGTTTTTTATATTTATATTACGCCGCCATTTTACGTCCGATCGTAACACGTCATATATCAATACATATAACCTACAGTAATATAGTGGTTTAGCTATGTCCGTTCGACTGTCCGTCCATGTAAACCTTGTAATCAAACTACAACTCGCAATTTTCCAGATAATTTGATGAAAATAGGCTCAAATATTTCATTTTACCAAAGGACGAATGTGTTTGAAAATGGATTAAATCGGAGCTCTTAATTGTGGCTTGTCGTTATTTCCCTCTTAAACACTACCATTATGATGAAATTCTGCATATCTAACTCCTATATGAACAGAAATCCATCCACCATCGGTCTATAATTGATCCTAGCTCCCATATATAGGCTCTTTCAGAACATCAGTTTTCATCAATAAATTGCTTAAAAAGTAATGGACAAATTTCAATACAAATGCCTTATTAAAAAAGAAATCACATTTTAGATATACTCATAACTGGTTTCATATGGTGGCCATTCCCGACTAATATTTTTTTATTAGTTTTTATTTCAAGAACTTCTTTTAAAATATATAACTATTTAAGAAAAGTTAATCTATCATTAAATAAATTTATTACATTTTATAAAAATTTGTATAAACATTTTTGAAAATTGTTTAAAAAAAAAACCAAGAAATATGCAAGTAATTGTATGGTAAAAACATGAAATATTTTTATAAAGCATAACTCTTTAATTTTTCATAGATTTTTATAAAATAAAATGTTTAGTTTTTATATACCTACGCGATTTCGTTATTAATTATTAAAATTAAATGTTGAATGAAATTATCTTTCTTGTGTTAAGATAGGGGGCAGACTGAAATTTTTGTATTGTAAATTAATTTGAAAAAATTGTTTTCGTCCTAGCAAATTAATTGTTAGTAGTTAGAACTATACAGGTATTTTTAAATACCTGTAAAATAGCTGTTTATGCATAAAAGTGGCATTTTAGAAGCTAATAGCTCATATAAATAAATATACATTGTTATAGTATTGCCACAATTTTAAATTTTGCGGAAGGATCCGAGATATCAGAAGTCGCGCATAGATTATGACGTCGAATTAAAAAATTGTCTAAGAGTAAAATATAGCTACAGTCAAGCCATAAATATTGATATATTATATGTTACGATCGGACTTAAAATGGCGACGTTATATATAAAAAACAAAAATGGCGGTATTTCTAGGCGTGGCAAAAAATATTTTTATATTTGTGGAAATGTTGTTAACATATCTTTAATCGTAGGGGGTGACTGACTCAACTTTTGTTTTCCGACCCACCCTAGTGGGTAGTTTGTAAAATATTCAATTGAGTAAGAAATCATGGAATACTTTTTTAAAATAAAGTAAAACAAATAAATATTGCCAATAAAATGATTTTCTTTAAGAGGGATTTTATAGAGAATAGCATAAGTTATGGACCGAATGTCATAATAGTTATTAAAGAAATTTTGGTTCCTATAAAACTTGTTAACGTTGAATTGCATCGCTATACTGCTATTTTAAGCCACTTGTGCGCTTTAAAGTCGTTGGGGTAGGGTCAAACATTGCCCTATCCTCATAAAATGTTGTAAATAGTGTTTGGTCCCATAAAACTTGTTTATGTCGGATTTCATCACTATATTGGTATTTTAAAAACAGTTATAAGCGTTAGAGTAATTTTTTCAATGGTACTTTATATGGGAGCTATGGTCAAATATGGACCGATACTCATTAAAATTAGTGGAGCAATTTAAGTTCATTAAAGTTTTGTCTATATAGAATTTCAAAGCTACACTGAATAGGTTTAATGCATTTATGAGAGTTAAAAAGAAAGCTTTCTGAAGGGGATCTTATATGGGGACTAGGATCAAAAAAAGTTCGATGTTTTTATTATTATTTAAAAAATCCAATTGAAAATGGTTTAGAACTTTTTGATTTTTTTGTAACTTAGCGCTTTTTGGATTTCATATGACGATATGTTTGATGTAAACAATTCTATGGGCCATAAAAATTTAAACATAACAGTTGGTACTAGATACAAGCACAATTAATTTTTGTAATAGTTGTTTTTATTGAATAAAAATATATTGTTCAAATATTTCAAGATAAAGTTTTTGGACTTATGCCCTTTTGAAACAGAATTTGTAATAACTTTTACAATTTTCAACCGATTTCTGTATTTTAAATATCATTGGAAAGATAATTGCATAAGTATAAGGGCATTTTTGTATCAAGTGACCAATTTTTAAAATCGATGTCTTCCGATTTGGATGAAATTTGCACAAAGGTGAGTACTATTGGATAGTAGGCCAGATATAAATTTTCAGCTCTATTAGTCAAGGACTTAGAAGGGATCAAAGTTGGACATTTTCGTCATACATGGTTTTATTCAAATGAGTGTAACTTTTCACCTATTGGTCCTAGCAAAAATTGTTCAAAGAAGTTCAGATAGCTATTTCTTCATTGTTTCCAAATTCTTTTTAAATGTATTTTTATTTTTTCCCAATGTAGTTTTATAACCCAAAGTACAATAGCAGATATGTAAGGGTAGGTGAATATTCGCAACTTTTGCAAAAATACAGAATTGAATATTGGGAAATAATTGAATTTCTTCATACAAACATACATTTGTACATGGCTAACAAAATTTGAATACAGGGAATATATAAAACCCTCCAATAAATGAAATGGCACCAAAAAGTGAAATTCGAAAAAATTGTGACTCGTGCCCTTTTAGAAATGACTGTGTCAATTGTGAATGGGGTTTTAAATAAAAAATATTTTATTATGCGTGTAGTATTTTGTAAGAAAATAAAAAACATTCCTCGATCGAAATTCATCGCACGCTTTCAAATTGATCGAATTTCATCACATATCGGATTATTTTTTTTTGTAAGTTACTTAGAGTTGCATTTTATCTAAATATTTACATATTTTAAATTTTATACCGACATATGTATGTACATGTACAATTGTAACAGTTATTAACTTGACGGCTGAAAGCATAAGCATGTCGCTAAGTAATCTAGAAAGCTTCTTTTCAAATGTGGTGTTAATAATTCTAAATTCTGGGAGTCATTTGACTCCAAATCCGAATCAATAGTCATCTCTTGAATGCTGAATGTATCTGAAAGCTCTGCCTGTCGTTTGGATCGCACTTTATGATGTTCATTTGGGAAGAATGAGACCTCCTCGCAATCATCACTTTAATAAAACAATTAAAAATATTTCTTTATAAATTCGATCTAATAATCTTGAATTTTACCTTTCAGATTTATAATCGACTAAAGGTTTTTGTTCCAAATCTCCCGGTATAGAAAGTCTAGAAATTGGTATCAGGGTGGCAGATTGAGATTTCCGTTTCTGCCAGTGCATGTCAGAATGAGAATAAAGTCTTAATAATTTAATTACTTGCTAAATTTGAAAGTACCAACATTTGTTTCCTGATAGTGGCTGTAGTTCCGTTTCGCCCTCTCTACTTTTAGTTCTAGTTTTCTTTGAAGTATCCGACAAGTATTTGGAGGTTTCAATGAGTCTTCTGGATCACTGCTTATCTTTGTTGGCGACGAACTTGTTGCTTTATAGGATGAAGCCTGTGACTCAGTTATTATTGAAGTTGGTCCCCTAAATGTGACTTCTAAGTCCGCCATATGTTCTGCTGTATCATTTCTCATAAGGTAATTCTGTATGTACATGTTTAGTCAGATAAATTAAATTCTAAAAAAATAATATATTACCGAATCATGGTCTTCTGCCAATAATGATGACTTATCTTCACTTTCTATGCCGCTATCTTCTAAGAATGGCATTGTTGCATTTAAAAAATAGTTATATTTTATTCGAATTAATTATTAATTGGTATGCAGTGTAATTTATTTTTTTATTAATTTTGTGTACTTTATAAAAAATAAATGGAAATAACAATAAAAACCAGTTATTTCCAAAGCGCATGTTCATGTCATCTCAGCTGATTGCCGAAAACGATGTGAAAAAAATCGATATACATATACATACTAAATACATACAATATTGCCAGTCACAATTAATACACCGTTAAATTCAATTATTATTTTGTTTTTATTTACAAAAATATTTAAATGCACAAATTTCGCTTATTATCATATTATAATTATTATTTTATTAATATCATAATCTGTTTTTTTTATTTATTGTTTTGTTTTTGTAGGGGATAAATATTAATACTTTGTCGTAGCGGCGTTACCATTTACTTTATTGACTCGGGCAATAAATAGGAACAAATTATTTACTAAAATTTCTTACAGTTAATTAAAAAAGTCGTTTCTTTATTATAAGCTTCTCTATATAAATCGTTATATTGAACTGGCATGGCTTTACTATAATATCTTTTATTTTTTTTTTTTTTTGAATTTCGTTCTAATTAATTTGTTAAATATACACTAAAATTTAAATTTTTAAACACTTACAATGGCCTGAGGTTTTTGTATACATGCTATTACGTTTTTAAAATATTTATGGAAAATAATCTTAAATTAATACAAAATTTGTGCTTTTCTCTTAAGAAAGACCTCTATTAGACTCTTGGAGTTTAATAATGTGCAGTATTGTTATTATCATCGTTTTTGTTGATACTGAGTTAAAGCTGACCAGCCAGAGCACATGATCTACAACAGAATCTGGCATAGTATTTATTCTTGCAGTAACGTCCCTTTACGATAAGTTTACAATTGGCGAAATGTTCATTGTCTATGCACTCAGGATTTAATGGAATTGTTGCTAAATTCGGAAAAAGTAAAAATTTTTAATACTGAATCGAATTATACTTAATAACTTAACACTTACATTCAACATTGACACTTTCTTCACTGATCGAATAACTAACGGCATTTGCTGCTTTGCAGCCATATTTACCAGAGTCGGCCATATTGATATTGTTAATTACTAGACGATAAGGTTCACCTTAAAAAAAAAGTAATTAATTAAAATATGGAGATTTAGATGTAATTAAAACCCATATTATATTTCCTATTATACTAATCCCAATATTTTATACGCACTCTATCAACATACTAAAATAAAACTCAGTTTTTGTCGAATTTATCTTAATACCACTATTTTTAAACGATTTATTAACAATAAAGAGATTTTTTGTAAGAAATATATACATACCAACTGATATTTGGATTCGTTCGCTTGGCAACAGTGGTAGGCCATCTTTAATCCATGTTACATTCGGTTTAGGGTAGCCTTGAACAGAACATCCCATAGCGATTGTGGACCCGGGTGTATAATTATTATTGGGATCCATTCCTACGACTGCACTTACAGGAACTATATCACAAAAACACAAAGAAAATGATAATTAATTATTAACAAGTTCGATTTTACCCTTATGGAAGTATGTATTGACAAATATACAATGTAAACCTACTACCCATAATTATGATCATGCCCTTAAAAATAGTGCAATATATATATACTTACTTGCTGGTACATAAGGTGGTGGAATTGCTGGAGGTCTTGTGGGACGATATGGGAAAGATGGCCGCTGAGTTACGGGTGCTTTTGGAGGTTCCACAATATATTGTAGATATTGTGCATCCTCATTGGTTACCGCACGGGCAGGGCCAACGGCAACTAATGTCACTTTAATAGATGCTGGACGTCTACTTAAACGATTCCAGGCATCACAAGTATAAGGACCCAAATCAGAAAGTTGGACCGAACGGAATGTTAATGAATAATCACGAGCTAATTCATAACGCTGACTGACCAATGGTAAACGACTACGATTGCGCCACCAGTGTACCATAGGTGCTGGATGACCTCCGGCAGGACAACGAACTACAGCAGGTCTATTTAATGTCACTACTTGCGTAACATTTCTATCACCATATACATAAGCAGGCAAATTAACAGGCTCTATAGTAGTTAGTTTTAATATAACATCAACATCAAGCAAAAACATGCACAAAATCACAATTAAATTTGTTAATATTAAAATACCAACACCAAGTTAAATAATTAAACAACTATAATACCAACCCGTAACTTGTAATTCAACTTCACGTCTGACAGGTTCACCCAATCCATTACTCGCTACACAAACATAAGACCCACTGTCGGTCTGTCTAACTTGTACGATTGTTAAGTCACCGCTTGAGGTCAAGACGTAACGGCCTTGATTGGTGTCAACCTAAATGTAATTTATATAAAATCAAATGTCTAAAATCAAATGTTTAAGAATAAAAACCCTACTTACCACTACATTGTTACGTGACCAGGTTACGTTAGGGGCTGGATTCCCAGTGGCAAAACATCTAAGGACAGCAATGCCACCCATTGGAGTTTGAACGTCTAATTCTGGTTTTTCCTTTGGAACTAATGAGGCTCGAACTTCTCCTGGATATACAACCACAGGAGCTGCTGTTGTAGGCGCTGTTGTACGCACGGTAGGTGGAGTAGGGCGAACACAAACGAAACCACAACCATTGCTACAGCATTTGTTATCATCCCTACAATCAGCATCAGTATAGCATTCTCGGCCGCAAATACCGTCATCAGCGCTCAGTAGTGGACAAAGCCCAGGTTTATTGTTGAGACGGCAAACGGGAACAAACTGTCCAGGTACGTTCGGAGATACTTCGATCGCACACTGTTGTCCATCATTGCATTCGTGATCGGCACAAGGGTTGTTACATTCGCAGCGTTGACATTCATCATCGTCAACTGGTATACGCCGCACTCCATAAGGACAAGACATTGAGTTACATTCATTTTCATACGATTCGCAGCGATTTGGCAAAACTTCATTTGTAATATCCGGTTCTAAAGAAGGAATTATTTACTGGTTAGAATTCTCAAAATTAAGAGTGTGTAATAAAGTTATGTTAGTTGATATGTAAAGAAATTAACCCGTTTCCAGACTTATAATACCCATACCCGTGCATCTTACAGATTTACATTATGAACGTGCAAATGGTCTTAATCTAATTAGAAAAGGCATAAAGGGGTTTCAATAAAGTGCAAAAGCTATAATGTGCAAAAATATTGTGTGTTGTACATGTGCTTTGAATGGTATAGTGCAAAATGTGCGAAATGTGCTTATACTGAATAAAATAAACCCATACAGGCAACTGGGCTTACTTGAACAGAAATCATAACAAGATTCATAGGAGCGGAAATTATTTTGATTGCCCGCACAACCCGAATAGATAAACGAAATACAATTGCCACGAGCATCATCATAATACCAACGACGTTGAGTCTCCGAACGACCTCTACAACGTCCCACATCCACTTCCTGTTTACATATATCTGGACTCATAATAGAATGATTAGGTTTAACTTGTAGGGAAAAGTAGATTATTTTAATTTGTTCTAGTACCTTTATTATGAGGGAAGGTAGGCTCTTGACCAATTAAACACACTGATTCACATTCGCCACGATTTTCAAACCTATTGCCGGTACCTTGGCAACCGCCATAAGTAAATGGCTCACAAATTCGGGAAGTCTTATTGAAGTAATAGCGCGTTTGCCACTGACGACAGGGTCCGGTTGCCACTTCCTCATTGCAGACGTCTAAGCGAGGCCCAATTACATTACTTACCGCTTTTAGAAATTATACAAAAAATGGAAATCTAACTTACCCACACCCTTGAATTCACCGCACTGCCGTTCACATTGTTCCCGAGATTGGAAGCGATTACCATTTCCACCACAACCGGTATAAGTAAAGGCCACACAAATCATGTTTTCGTTATCGTAGTACCATGCCGTGGTACTGTTATCGCATTCACCAGCCTCCAGAGGTTGGTCACACACGGAATAAGTCTAAATTTTAAAAAATTGCAGATAAATATATTTTTCCAATTCAAAAGAGTAATAATAAAATAACTTACTGGAGCGGGTGGTTCGCCACTTGCACAACGTGACATACATTCCTGTTCAGTTACAAAATTGTTTCTATTACCTCGACGACCAGTAAACTCGAATTCACTACATCTACCGGTTTCTTGATTGAAATGCCATCTGATCATACTTTCATTACCATTGCCTCTCAATGGTGGTAAAACACATGTCTCCTGAGCGGGGAAGCATTCATTTTCACAATCATCTTCTGAAGCATAGCTGTTAGCATTGCCACCACATCCTGTGTATACGAATTCATCGCAAACGCCATCAACACTGTTATAGTACCAACGAACCTGGTTGTCTAAGCAATTTCCAGTTGCAACTGGCAAGAAACATTTACGAGCGTCATCAATTTCTGGACTTGCTTCCAGATCAGGCTCAAATCTGGTCTGGAAACCTGGTTCTGCACTGCAGTGTTTGAGACATTCCTCTTCTGAAGTAAAACGATTTCCATTGCCTCCACAGCCACCATAGTAAAATGAAGAACATTGAGAAATTGTAGAATCGAAGTACCAGTATGGCATGTAATCATCACAATCGCCTGTATCATGTGGTAATAAGCAAACATTGTCGTCTGTCGGCTCTTCAGGCTGGACTGGAATGGGTTCGGGGACGGCTTGTGCCTCACCAATACATTGTCTTTCGCAATCTGCCTGGCTTTCGAATCTATTTCCATTACCTCCACATCCTCCATAATAAAATTGACGACAAACAGAATGTTCCTTGTCAAAGTGCCATACCATAGTGTAGTTGTCACACTCTCCTTGAGCTGGTTTCTCATCGCACACATTGATGTCAGTTGGTGGTTGGATAGCTTCTGGTTCTGGTTTATATTCAGGTTCTGGTACATGTTCTGGTTCAGGTTCTGGTTCTGGTTTCTTTTCACATCTTTGATTACAAGCGTCCTCTGTAGTGAACTTATTTTCGTTTCCACCACAACCACCATAATAAAATTGACGGCAGCGTTGATCTTTAGTATCGTAGTACCACATAGGTTCATAATTGGTGCATTCTCCCACTTCTGCGGGAATTTCGCATATATCCTTAGCTAAATAATATGTACATATACAAAAAAATATTAAATACCAAATTAAATACCTAAATTAAAAGTGCATCACATGTGCGGACATCGAATTTCAAGCGACAACATTGATCGCATTGATTCATATGATGTATGAATGAATGTGTGTATTCCAGAGGAATATTAAAACCTTACCAACTTGTTTGGGGCAATGATCCTCGCATGATTCCAAAGATGGGAAATTGTTTTTATTTCCTCCACAACCAGTGTAATAGAAGGGCATGCATTTCTTATCTGCCTCGGAATAATGCCAACGTGCATGTTTTTCGCCGCAATCACCGGTTTTCTTAGGTAATGAACAATAATCTGTGAGTCATGAGGAGAATGCGCAAGGAACACGTGCATGTTTTTTTACGAATATGAAAGGTGTACACAAAAATAGCAGGCATAATAGCAAGCAAGGTGCATAAGGAGAGGGAAAATATAATAAAGATAATATTTATGATTATATTGCATACCACCACCAAAGGAAATAAATAGTAATAAGCTGTATTATTTAATACCATTACCATATTAGGCATAACCAATGCTAGACTAAGCTTATCTATTATCTAAATGTAAAACTAATTATCAAACCTTTATGTACTCCTGGTTGGCGACAGTGGTAATTACAAGCATGTTCTGTTGGGTAATTGTTTTTGTTACCCTTGCAGCCGCCATATCTAAACGGACGACATACATCGGTCGCATTATCGTAGTACCACCGTTCAAAGCTACCCTCGCATGGTCCTTCATCCATTGGCTGTTCACAAGTGGCTGTTATGAGACTAATATTTAATATTTTGACAAAATTTTACACTTTTATATACTTACGAATACTTTCACTAACTGTACATAATGATTGACACTCTTCCAGACTGTCGAAACGGTTATTTGTGCCATAGCATCCACCATATTTAAACTCTTCACATCGTCCACGTTCAGAGTCAAAGTACCATTTGGTAATATATCCTGTGCAGGGTCCTTGACTCTTGGGTAAGAGACATGCATCTTTTCCCTTAAATTCTTGACAGGTTTCCTTGCATTCACTTTCTGAATCGAATCTATTACCGTTGCCTCCACATCCGCCATACCAAAATTTAGCACATGCGCCATATGAAGTGTCAAAGAAGAATTTAATGGAAAAATTACCGCAGGTACCAGTTTCTTTTGGTAATTTGCAGGACAACTGTGGTGGTTCTTTAACATTTTCGCAGCCTTCAAATTTATCACCTTGAGCAGAGGCAATACCATCAGGACAACAGCCATATTTGCTCTCTAAACAAGTACAACCTTCATTATTAGGCCCCTTTGCTGGAGTTTTTTCATCTGGACAACATTTGAATTCTGTTTGAGAACAATGACAGCCGTAGTGATGAGGACCTTGAGCCACAGTAATACCATCGGGACAGCAACCAAATTGTAATGTATGGCAGGAACATCCTTCAAATTTAGGACCCAGAGCGGGAGTGAGCTTATCAGGGCAGCAACCAAACTCTGAAGATTCACATCCACATCCTTCATTGTTAGGACCACGGGCAGCAGTTTTCTTATCTGGACAACAACCATACGGTGCGTACTGACAGTCACAATCTTCAAAGTTGGGACCACGAGCACTGTTAATATTATCAGGGCAGCAACCAAACGGTGAATTTAAACAACAACCTTCTCCCAGAGGACCATGTGCTGGAGTTTCGTTGTCTGGACAACAGCCGTATGGTTCGTATGTACATGCCGGGCATCCTTCATTATCAGGACCAGTAGCTGATGTTCGTCCGTCATTGCAGCAGCCAAACAGTGAATTCCTGCAATTCTTTGGGTCAAAAACATCTTCGCATCCAGCAAAGTTTTTGCCAGAAGCAACAGTTTTACCATCTGGACAGCAACCGAACTCACTAAATGAACAAGATTGTACTGTAACTTCAGATAGTGTTGCATCGGTTGTTTCAGATATATCTGTTGTATCAAATACATCAGTTGTTTCTGGTACATCAGTACTGTCTGTTTCAGCACTTTCAGTTTCCATAAGCTCTGTAGTTTCTTCGGGTATTTCAGTAGTGGTGGTTGGTGGCAATGTTGTTGGTACTGGACATCCTTCGAAATCTTCTCCTTCAGCAGCTGTAAATTTATCTGGGCAACAACCGAATAATGTTTCTGCACATTGTGATTGAGGACAGCCCTCAAAGTTTTTACCACCAGCAGCAGACACACCATCATGACAACAACCAAATTCGGTTTCAGCACAAGTCTTAGCAATAGGACAACCTTTATCAAATGGACCTTTTGCAATATGTTTACCATCTGGACAGCACCCATGCTCTGTTTTTTTGCAATCCTTAAGCTTTTTGGCTTTACATTTCTTCGCTTTAGATTCTTTTGTAATAGCGGCTTCCAATGTGTTAGGAGTACTCTTCTCATAATCTTCCTCAGTTGTCCATATATCGACTGTGGTAAATTCATTTGTTGAAAGTGAAGAATCACCAGAACTGTCAGTAGTTGAGTCGAAAATAACTGTAGATTCAGTTTCCAAAGTGGTGTCTCCGGACGATTCCTGACCAATTGTTTCTGTTGAAAAATCTGTTGTGTCTGATATACCCAAAGTACTTGACGCTTCTGTTGATTCCGAAGTATCTGTAGATTCAGAAACATCTGTACTTGACTCCAATTCCGTTATACTATCAGTGGATGATGAAACTGTTGTAGAATCTGAGGATAAGTTAACATCAGTGGATGTAGACATATCTGTTGAAGATGTTTCAGACGATACAGTGGTTTCATATAACTTAGTGGAAATTGATGTCGATATAGAAGATTCAGTTGAAGCTAAAAGTTCTGTCGATGTAAAGCTGTCTGTAGAAGAAGTAAGATCAGTTGTTTCCGAAGATTCAGTAGCTGCCGAGGAATCAGTAGAAGCAAATACTGTTGAATCTGTAGATAGATCTGTTGTAGAAACAGATGATTCTGTTGTAGTATCCGTTTGAAGTGTAGAATCCCTTATATCTGAGGTTGAAGAATCTGTGAAATTGGTAGATTCAGAAGCTTCAGAGGTGTCAGTAGATTCAGAAGTTTCAGAGGATTCAGTAGAATCAGATGCTGTTGAGCCAGTAGATTGGACTGTCGTGGAAACAGATGTTTCTGTAGTGGGTTCGGTTGAAAGTGAAGACTCTGTAGAATCTGTAGATTCGATAGTTACAGAAGACTCTGTAGAATCAGTAACTGTTGAATCTGTAGATATATTTGTTGTCGAAACTGATGATTTCGTTGTAGTTTCGGTTGAAAGTGACGATTCCGTTGAATCTGAGGATATCGAATCCGTTGTTTCGGTAGATTCAGTTGTTTCTGTTATAGTTTCGGTTGAAAGTGACGATTCCGTTGAATCTGAGGATGTCAAATCCGTTGTTTTGGTAGATTCAGTTGTATCTGTAGATGTATCTGTAAATGTAGATGTCTCTGTGGAATCAGTTACATCTGTAGATGTTATAGTTTCGGTTGAAAGTGACGATTCCGTTGAATCTGAGGATGTCGAATCCGTTGTTTTGGTAGATTCAGTTGTATCTGTAGATGTATCTGTAAATACAGATGTCTCTGTGGAATCAGTTACATCTGTAGATGTATCTGTAAATACAGATGTCTCTGTGGAATCAGTTACATCTGTTGCTGATGAAGATTCAGTAGAAGTATCTGTTGCAGAAGATGAGTCCGTAGAGGCATCTGAAGATGATATGTTTTCAGAAACAGTTGTTTCAGATATGTCTTTGAAACTTGAAGATTCAGAACTACCGGTTGAACCAGATGATTCGGTAGATAGTTCTGTCGATGAATATGTTTCAGATGTATCTGTAGATATATTTGTAGACTCAGAAATATCTGTAGTTTCAGAACTATCAGTAGCAAACGAGACAGTGGATTTATCTGTAGAATCTGACGATGTTGTATCAGAACTATCTGTTATCTTAGATAAGTCTGTTGAGATCTCAGTTACATCAGTACTTTCTGACACGTCAGTAGAACTATAAATATCGGAAGATGTCGTATCGATATCAGATGATGATGAAGTTTCAGTTGAAAGGGAGGATTCCGTAGATGAAGATGATTCGGTTGGTGATGAAGCTTCGGACGATAGAGAAGAATCTGTTGATAATGAAGATTCCGTTGATGAAGAAGATTCGGTTGGTAAAGACGCTTCAGACGATAGAGAAGAATCTGTTGATAATGAAGATTCCGTTGATGAAGAAAATTCAGTGGATGTAGAGTCTTCCGTTGATGAAATTGTTGATGAAGAAGATTCGGATGGTGAAGAAGCTTCAGACGATAGAGAAGAATCAGTTGATAATGAAGATTCCGTTGATGAAGATAATTCAGTGGATGTAGAGTCTTCCGTTGATAAAATTGTTGATTCAGTAGAATCAGATCCTGTTGATTCTGAAGAATCAGTTGATTGGGACCGATCTGTAGTTTCAGAAGTTGTTTCTGTACCATCACCGCTACCTTCAGTAACAATACTAGAGAGCTGAGTACCCTCTGTCTCGTCACCTGAACCATCGACAGTAGTGAGAGGGGTATCGGTAGAGATTTCCTCATCTGTAGTGTCAACTGCAGGAGTACTGTCACTCAACATTAGATCATCAGTTATCAATGATGACATTGTTGATTCTTCATCGAAATCAATACCATCGGAAATCTTCAAATCTTCACTCATTTTATCTGTTACATATTTTATGTTATCATCGTCCTCTTCTTCTTCACAGTCTTCTTCATATTCTTCATCAGTAACCGGCTTATCTGTACTTTCTACAGGCATGACCTCATCTTCCGTGCAGGCCTGAGTATTACATTTCTCAGATAGCGACTCTATTTTCGATTCGTCACAGTTATTGGATTTTGTACCGTTTGACAAACATAAGACCTCGCGCTGCCTCTCGCCTCCCCCACAAGGCTTAGTACATGATTCCCATGGCCCAGTGAACCACTGACCAGGACACTCCTTATCTTCACCTTCACATTCCTGCTCAGCTTCAGGTTTAGTAGTTTCATCGCATTGAGAATCGTCCGTTACTTTGGTAATGGTTTTACCATCGAATTCTCCACACAAAACAACACGTGACTGAATGCCTTTGCCGCACGGCGATGAACACTTACTCCATTCGGATGTAAACCATTGAGTTTTACATTTCTTGGATTCACAAGGCCTGGACAAAGATGGTGTTTCAGGTGCGCAAAATTCATCATCATAAACCTTTCCGGATTTGGAAGCGCAAATTGCAGTACGAGTTTCTGTTGTTTGTCCACAAGCATCGCACTGAAAATTTATTTTATATTTTTTTAATATATATGTATGTATGTAAATAAATATCTACGTTAAACTTACACCACTCCAAGGCGATATTATCCAATCCACACCTTCGCATGGAGTCAACATGCACATTTTTTCGGTTTCTGGCTTTTCTTCAATGCAATCGTCATCATTTAAAACTTTTTTTCGACCATTTTCTTCAATATAGCAAGTAACTTTTCGCCTTTGCTTGCCTTCGCCACATAATTTATCACACTGAAAAAATAAATAATATAAAAGGGATCTCATTCGAATAATCGAAGACAAATAACACTAGTTTATAACATAATACTTTTTGCTTATTCATAAAATGAAACATATATTTTTTGAAAGAGCTATGTCCGATGGTTAATGAACAATTGTTATTTTTTGTTAATTGTGGGTCGTTGAATACAGTCACATACTACGTTTGGAATATTACGACAAAATAAGTAGTTTTTTGAATTGTCGAAATCAATACGCATTCTTTTGAGAGGCGGTCATACAAGTTTATATTAAATAATTTGTTCTATTATTTTTTTTTTTTTAATTTTTTTTTTTTATAAATTATATAAAACTTTCCAAAGATTCAAATCTGCATAATAATTCACCTAACAACGGGACACCCAAATATCGATTTAGAGTTTATAATTTAGTTATATATTCAAGTATTTCTACAAAAATCTCTTTTATTTTTATTTGCAGATAAAAATAAAAAAACTCATTTTAAGTTCTTTCAAGTGTTGGAAACATATGATTATGAAAAATGTTCCGTGCAGCATGAGAAAGTGGTTAAAATAAAATTAAAAAAAAAATATGTTTTTTTTGGTAAAATTAAATCCACTTTAAAGAACCACCAATTACTAACAGTATAAAATTCGTCTCATTGAAATACGACCTCATATTTCGCTAAAAATGAAAAATATTAATTTTTCGAATTATTCGAATAGAAATGTTAATATATTAGACGTTCGAATGGAATCATTCAAGAAAATGATTTAAATTATTTGATTACTCGAAGAATAATAAATTTATAATGAACTTTTGTTCAAAAAAATAAAAAATAAAACACGAATCGACAACTATAGTAAGTACTTACTGGTGTCCATGGACCTAAATGGTATTTGGGACAGTTCTCAATATCCCGGTTGCACTCTTGCTGATTTGCAGGCTTATTTCCAACTTCTTCCAAACAAACTGAGTCTTCTTCAATAGTATTTTCTCCTGTTGGAGAAGTACGCTCACAAGTAACAGTTCGATTTTGCATGCCGTCTGAGCCACAACCCTTAGAACATTTTCCCCATTCACTAGTAACCCAATGAGGAGCACACGGTTCCGTTCCACATTCTTGACTTTCTGCTGGCTTCGCCTTTTCATCACAAAAGCTTACGTCAACCTCTTCCAAATTTAGTCGGTTATTACAAGTGACTGCACGTGTCTGGGTTCCACCACCGCAGGATGCACTACAGGGTCCATATTCCATGTGGGTCCAGGTGTAAACATCAGGTGTATTAGAACTAACTGATTGCGGAATGCTGTATTCATATTCGATACTAACATTTTTGTCTTGAACCAACATCACAATAAAAACTGGTTCATTAATGGGGCCAAGACAAGTTAACTGATCTGGTGCGGCAAAGCCCATAGGTTTCCTTTGGTAGTTCCACCATGAACCAGCAAATTCCATTGATCTAGGAAAATCTATTCGGAAATTTCCATTCAAATAATAATGACTACTTAAGTTCCGACAAGCTAAATAGTTGTTTGATGGTGATGTCTCTTGTATTCGAATGTTCGTGGCACCACTTGGTATCAACAGCAAATCATTATAGCCTGCAGCTAGATTATTTGTAGTAAATCTATCTGCAATTGTACGGCATGTTGTGCCGTCACCTCCACATTTACGGCAAATGTCCTCTTTCGCATCAGATCCGAGCATCATATCACAACCCACAGGTTGACATTGACCATCAACACATACGTCTAGATCTTTATCATTGCATCGTGTTCCATCAATAACTTTAGCCTTGTGTCTGTAGTAAAAACGCTCGCCATTAGGCATGCAATTTAACTCACAAGGATTGGGAGCATTTTTGTAAGGAACCCACTCGTAGTAAATTCCATCAAATGGCTGATGATTAAAACGGGAACACTGTTGACTTCTAAAATCTGGTTCCCCTTCAGGACAATCTTGCGTATTGCAAGAGAAATATTTACGATTTCCTCCCCTACATATAGGAGCACCATTTGGCCTAAACAAAATAACAAGTATTTATTAAACTCCAACACTTACTATTCCTTAAATATATCTCAAAATCTTACGCTGTTCTTAAGCATTCTCTTGTCTGAAACGAAACACCGCCTCCACATGATCTCGAACATTCAGATGGCGAACTCCAATCACTCCATTCTGTGGAATCATCACCCTCACCCCCAGGTATTATCGAACTCGCGGGAAGATACATATGTGCCCCATTTTGTCTTTTTAACCGCTCACCAAACTTAAACAAAGATCACACATTATATATTTAAATTTAAAGTTTAATTTGTTAAATTGTTCTATACTTACAAATCTTGACTGTGACGTTTGAATACAAAGTAATAGAATGAATCCTATCAAGGGCGGTAATCTGTAAGTGACAATTTATAGTAAATATATAAGTCGTAATTTAAAAGATAAAAAATTTACAATTTAACTTTAACAGTATAATACTAATTGAATGTATATTACTAACACAATTCCAAATAACAATTAAAATTATTATTATCGAATAATGTTTATTTGAATAAAAAGACTTCTTTATTTTTTAAAATTAACACATTTTTCGAAAAAGGAAAAACTATTTTTTTAATGTTTTTTTTAATTTTGAGTTTTAAACTAAAAAATAAAATTACAAAAATACTCCTCAAGTGCTGACCTGTTACGGTACACATTACAAATATATGTTTTTACACTGAAAATAATCCATGCTCAACTTTACGAAAAAAATTTCGTAATTTATATTTTCGTAATACATATTTACAAAAATTTCGTGTATAATACGTAAACCTTTCGTAATATTTTTTTCTTAAATTTTAGCGAAATTAAACATAATGATATTAAGTACATATATTATATATATATATTAAATAAAACTACAACATTTTTATAAAATTTAAGAAAAAGTATAATATAATTGACGAACTATTTTCATAAAAAATAAATAAAAATTCGTGTGGAGAATAATTTTGAACTAAAATTAGAAATTTTTTTTTAAATGAACAAAAATGTTTGCATAAATTAATATTTCGTAAATTTGACCATATTTATTCAAAATTCACTTTTTTCAATTTATGCAAATTAATTTTTCCAAGATTATTTTGCATTATACTAAAATATTTCGTACAATTTCGTATATATTACGAAAGAATTTCTTGTTGCGAAACAACAAACGATTCGTACAATGTACGATATTTTTCGTATATATTAGGCATGGATTTTTTCAGTGTAAATGCATTTATTAGAACTTTATTTTTAGTTTTAAAATATTCTTTTTTCTACAGAAAATATTAAAAATTCTGAACACTAGAGTGTCCAGAGAAGTAGTATTTTTTTAGAATATAGTAATATTAGTAATATATGCCTGGAATATAGTATTATATTAATATTATTATTAATTTTATTTATTGGCAATTATAACGCTTATTTAGAGTTTGGAAACGAAAAAAAAAATACATTTTGAAATAAATATAGAAAATTGTTTTTATGCAACTTTGTTTAAAAATCCTATGAAGCCATTGATATTATTTTTTATTTTTTTAAATTTTGTGTTTTCACTGAAGCTAAAAGATATCAGAATTTTGCACTTAAATCATCCCAAATTGGATCTTTATAGAATTAATTAAAATCAAATCAAAATTCAATTAGCTTTTTGTTCATTAAAAACAAATTATTAGCAGCATTTTTTAAACTATTGGATTTATTAAATCCAAATTTTAGTTCTGGCACTGTACGCCAGGATAAGGCAAAAGGTTTTAATCGAGGCTAAACAAATTTCAAATCATAATGTCAGCAGCGGCCAACAGATGGAGTTATTTCAAAACTTAATATTTAAATCATAAATTTTCCTTAAAATTTGTAATAATTTGTTGCAAAAATTGGTATTTTCACTGAATAATCATTTTAATATACCATAAAACATTCAAAGATGTTTTTCTCGAAAGATTCGTTTTTGGATTAGTAACTAAGAAATACATACATATATATGTACATACTTATGAATGTAAAATAATATAGACTGTAGTAGACTGCCTGCTGAGGGCAAGGCGTCAAAGCGTAATGTTATGTGTCAGCAATACTATTTCATAGTTATACCAGGTTATTCTATTGGCGTTTATGCTCGCGTGTCACTTGCAGTGACAAAATTAAATTGGCACATTACCAAATCGCTACCCAACACCCAATATCTGCTACACTCATTGACGTATGTTTACAACCATTTTTCACACGAATCAAAAACATTAAATTGACTGCAAATTAATTTGCAAGACTGTATGATGACGGTGATGATGGCAAAACATGGTAGTACTTGGTTGATTCTTTCAGTTTAGATGTTTATATATGCTAGTCAGGCGACTTTTTGTCTACTATTATAGCCATATTATTATGTGTACGTACATTCACACAAACATATATACATACATACATATTTGTAGTTCATATGTACATATATTTAGAGGTTTGTATGTAAATATGTTCATATTTTGTTTACTATTTGTTATTACTGTTTTATATACATATACATACATACATGTATTTATTATTCTCAGTAAAACTGACGACAGTTTGTCGTTTGCTATTCTATGCCTAAAATATGGATCGTTAGTTCTCATCATTATTAAGGGATTTATATGTGTTTCTTTCTGGGTTTATTTTTTCCGCTTCGTTTTTTTTTTTATTTATCATTGTTACACTTAGTTGTTTTTAATTATCTACGCTGTCTTGGCATTGCTACCATCATAATAAACAAATTACTTGATGCATAATATTTAATCAACAACACTTGACCTACAGCATTGCTCTTGATGCAACAATAAAGTCTAAAGAAGCCCAATAATTCGCACAAACAAAAAGCGATGAACGGGTGATGATGATGATGCTTCATATTCGAAGCACTTGCATTTATTTATGAAGCCATAATAAAAAGAGTTGATATGATGAAAAAGCATCATATGTACATTGTACATAAATATCTATGCATATGTACATACCTACATCAAGTGCCAACAGAAAGTTGCAACAATTGAAGAAATGTACGCACAAAACAAACATTTCTTTCTTAATTTATTATTATTGTATTAATCAGATGTTTATGGTAACAACAAAGTAAATAACTTTAATTAACAATATACACAGTATACCGCCACAGACAAATTATTTTGTTAACCCTCTCAGAACAGAAAATTATTTTTCTAAAATGGCGACAAATAACAAATTTATTAGCTAAAGATACAAATTTAATTTCTGTTACATTCCTTATCACAGCATCACTCTCTGGCTCATATCTGTCTATCCATAATTTTAGATAGATTAGAATTCGGAAAAAATTGGTGGTCATAATCCATATATTCAAACTAATATTCCCAACAAATTTTATTAAAATCAGACTATTTTATTAAAATCATTAATGATTTTAAAAAAATTAAATGATTTGAACCAACAGCAGCGATTGAAAATTTTGATCTTAGTACAATATATTAAAAAGAATTTCTACGATCTTTTCAAAATTAATATCAAAAACTCGGTAATTTTGAGCTGATTAAGGCAAAAATAATTGTAAAATTGTTTTAGAGTATTTTGGTCCACTAAATAATTAAGCTGGTTTGAGAGGCATATTAATATTGCTTTTTACCGAAATAGGTGTCAAAATTATTGAAATATTTTAGCATTTAGTTTAATCCATTTAAGAATTTTTTAGATTATTTTGGAATTTATATGCCTCTAATAATGCACTAAAAATCGTTATGCGGAGCAGAAATACTCTAACAAACACATTATTATTTTTCTCTCGATAAGCTCCAAATTACGGAATTTTTGAGATCAATTTCTAAAAGATTGCAGAAAATTTTTTGTGGAGATATTGTCCTGAGATCAAAATTTTCCATCGCCGGTAGGGAACTGAGAACACTTTAAAAGAACATATTTTCTATTTTTCTCGTGTTCAGTACATTAAGTTTTAATATAATTACTTTATATAGCGAAAAATATAAAGTCTATTGATAAACTTAATATAAATTTAGAACTTTTAAAAACATTAAAATCAATTAAAAATTTTTTATTTTGTGGAATACTTTAATTTTTTTTTTCATTTAATTTGTAACAGAAGGAATTAAACAAATACGAAAGATCATTCATTTAAAGAATGAATTCTCTTAGGAATGAATTCAATGCAATGTAAAGCTAAAGAATAAAGCTTTTAGAATTAAAATTTAGAGAATGTTTTTAAAAAATAGAGCATTCAAATATTTTAAACCGAATTAAAAATTTAAGGGAATTAATTCTAAATAGAATTCCTTCTTTCCAAGCTATGTACATATGTACATACATACATATATATGTATATGTATGTTGCGGTCAATGAAGAGTCCAATAATACTTTTGCATTCCATCATTCTTAAACATACATACATGCAAATGCAACAAATAATGTTGCTGTTACTACTACAAAATACTTCTGGGCCTCCCATAACTAAAAATGTCTAGATTTTAATAGTTCTTGCTCTTACACACATACGGAGATGCAATAGAATAAACACTCATATACATACATTTATTTATAGATTATAACATGAAAGGGTTTGGAACCAAAAACAGAAAGAGGAAAAATATTTTTGGCCAGAGACAAGGAAATATTTATAAAATCATTTCCCAAAAGATAGAGAAATCCAAGCGTGAAAAATACATATGGGGAATTTCGTGTCAAGTGACCCAACTTTAAAAAACTATGCCTCCCGATTTGGATGAAATTTGTACCATTTTCAGCTCTATCGGTCAAGAACTGCCGGAGTCAGAGGGAGTCAAAGTTGGACATTTTGTTCATACAGGTTTTTTTAAGCAAAAAAAAAACTGAAAAAAATAAAAGGGTCCATTTAAAAAAAAAAAAATTAAAAAATAAAAAAATTTTAATTTTTTTTTTTTTTTTTTGAAAGAATAAAGAAATAGCTATCTGAACTCCTTTGGACAATTTTTGATAGTACCAATAGGTGAAAAGTTGCACTCATTTCAATAAAACCCTGTATAGTAGTACATACTAGTATTATATAGTAGTACATACTAGTATTATATTTAAGAATGGTGTAAATGTCAAATAAAATAATGATAATAATTATCTATGACATTATTGGTTCACTGCTTCTAAAAATCACAATAAAAAAATGTATCATCACCAATTTTCCACATTTTGATATTTTAGCTTTCGTCACTGTATGCTTATTTCTCAAATATTCAATTGTATTTGCAGAAGTTAAGAATATTGAATGTCCATCCTCTTTAAAATGTTGCTTTGATTTATAACAAGTGAGGGTGTTATATTCGGCTATACCTAATCTTGTACACCTACCATCAAATCATATTCCGTAAGATAGAGTGAAT